TGGCCTACAGGCACTTTGGAGAATAGCTTGACCCTTCCTCATTGTGGCAGCCCCTCAGATATTGGAAGACTGCTATCATATCTCCCCTGGTCTTTCTCTTCACTTGACTAGCCAAGCCCAGTTCCTGTAACTGTTCTTCATATGTTTTAGTCTCCAGTCCCCTAATCATCTTGGTTGCTCTTCTCTGCACTTTTTCTAGAATCTCAACATCTTTTTAGAGTATGGTGCAGAGGTAGTATTCAACAGGTTCTGACCAGTTCTGGAGGACTGGTAGCGGAAATTTTGAGTAGTTTGGAGAACCAGCAAATACCACCTCTGAACTGGTATTACAGTATCCTTCCCCTGCCATGCCCACCAAGTCACACCCACAGAACTGGTAATAAAAAAAATTGAATCCCACCACTGGTGTGATGACCAAAACTGGATGCAGTATTCTAGGCATGGTGTTACTAAGGCTTTATAGAGTGGTAGTAGTACCTCCCTTGATCTTGATTGTATCCCTCTGTTAATGCAACTTAGGATTGCATTGGCTTTTTTGGCTGCCGCTGCAGACTGCTGGCTCATATTTAGTTGGTTGTCCACTAAGACTCCAAGGTCCCCCTCACAATTACTGCTAAGCCTCGTTTCACCCAGACTATATGTGTACTTTTGGTTTTTCTTGCCTAAGTGTAGGACTTTACTTTTCTCTACATTGAATTTCATTTTGTTAGAATACGGGCTCAGTGTTCAAGTCTGTCCATCTGGATCTTGAGCCTATCTTCTAGGGTGGTCACCAACCAGTGGGCCACGGCCCATTGGTGGGCCATGAGAAAATTTTGGTGGGCTGCAGAGAAATCTCACCCCCAGAGCACCCCACTCCAAAGCAATTAATCCAGGCTGCGCAGAAACACAAGGCTGTGCTGCCCACATGGCCCGCGGGAACCCTCCCCGCCCACTCACTCCTTACCCAGCAAACTTGCCTGCTAAATTGCTATTTTTCCTTTTTCCGACCATCAGCTGTTCTGCTGTGCTGGGAGATTTAGATTAGCTAGGAAGCAGGAAATGGTTGGATTTCTTGTTTTCTAGCTAGTCTTTAGATCTTCGGCTCAGCACAGCCGAACCTCCCTTAGGACTGAAGTTTTGCTTGCAAGCAAATTCAGTGCAGACTCACAGCAAGCAAATTTGAAAGACTGAGCTAGCCGATGACAGATAGATAGGTCACTGAATGATTCTGTGAGCAACTCAATCTGCCTGCTTTGCCTGATTTTGGGTAAAAGTTGCTCTTTTTTAAAAATAAAAAATTCAATATTTACATGCATGGTGTGTTGTGAGTTAATTTTGTGAGTTTGCTTGCAACCAAATTTTATGTGACAGACTGAGCTAGCGATGGCAGATACATAGATCTCTGAATGAATCTGTGATTCTGTGAGCAACTCAATCTGCCTGCCTGCTTTGCCTGATTTTGGGTAAAAGTTGCTCTTTTTTAAATTAAAAAACCAATATTTACATGCATGATGTGTTGTGAGCTAATTTTGTGAGTTTCTTGCTAGCAAATTTTATGAGTTTGCTTGTAAGCAAATTTTATGTGACAGACTGAGCTAAGACAATGACAGATAGATAGATATCTGAATGAATCTGTGATTCTGTGAGCAACTCAATCTGCCTGCTTTGCTTGATTTTGGGTAAAAGTTGCTCTTTTTTATAAAAAAATCAATATTTACATAAATATTTATAATATTTACATACAAGCCATGCCCAGCCAGTCACATGACCACCAAGCCCTACCCACAAATTAGGCCATGCCCACAGAACCGGTTAGTGGTCCCTGGGATCTAAAATTATGAGTTTGGTGGTCCCTGAGGTCCAATAAGGTTGGCGACCCCTGTTCTAGGGATTAGCAATTCCTGCCAACTTAGTATCATCTGCAAATTTGGTGAGTTCCCCTTCTATTCCTTCTTCTAAGTTGTATATTGAAGAGTACTGGGCCTAACACAGAACCTTGTGGCACCAACTGCTTCCTTCCTTCCATGTAGACATAGATCCATTAAGGACTTACTCATTGAGTATGGTTTGTCAGCCAGTTACGAATCCATCTGGTGGGGATGCTATCTATCCCACTTTTTTCCAGCTTACAAAGAAGTGGGTTGTGGTCTGCTTTGCGAATGCCTTGCTGAAGTCTGTGTATATTATGTCCACAGTATTTCGCTGTTCTACTAATTCGGTCACTATATTGAAGAATGAAATAAGATTTGTTTGGAATGATCTGTTTTTAACAAACTCGTGCTGACTGCTAGTTATTGTTTTACTTGTTTCTAGATGTTGGCAGATCAGGTTTTTTATTTTCAGTATCTTCCCAGGTATTGATGTTAGGCTGAATGGCATGTAGTTTCCTGTGTCTGTTTCCCCCCCACCTTTTTTTTTATTTTTTGAAGATGGGAACCTCATCAGCTCTTTTCCAATCCTCTGGTAGTTCCCTAATGCTCCAGGATTTTTGAAAAATGGTGCAGTGGTTCTGAGATGGCCTCTGCCAGCTCCTTTAGAACTCTGGGATGTAATCCATCAGGTCCTGGTGATTTGTGTTCATCAAGATCAGACAGGTATTCTCTTACTTTTTTTTTTTTTTGCTTATATTAACTTTTATTTCTAGTCTGTCTTTTACAGTTATGTTTTTGGTAGGTTGGGCTATAGTTTCTTTTTCTGTGAGGACCAATGCAAAGAATGAATTAAGCAGCTCTCTGTTGCCTATTACTTCCTTGCCATTTTCTCTCTTGGACTGACTGCTTCCTTGATTTTTTTCTTGTTATTTATATGTTGGAAGAAACTTTTCTTATTATCTTTGACTTTTGTTGCAAGTCTTTGTTTGTTCTGAGCCTTTGCTATCCTGACTTCGTCTTTGCAGATTCTGGCTATCTGCTGATAATCTGCCTCAGTTGTGTGTCCCTCTGTCCATTTTTTGTACTTTTCCTTTTTGTCTTTCAATTTGCCAGAGAGATCTTTGTGCAGCCATGCTGGTTTCTTCTTGGAGTTTTTGTTTTTCTTTCTTAATGGTAGGCTTTTATGATTGTACTTTTCAGAGTTTCCCAAGATTCTAGAGTTGTTTTCCCCATAGGATTTTCATCTATGGAATCTTTCCCAAATTTTCTCCAAGTTTATTAAAATCTAAGACTCCGGTGTCATTATGTTCTATTGCTTATGTTCGTATTATGTTGAATTCTAGTATGACATGGTCACTCTCACCCAAGGTTCCTGCAGTTTCAACTCCCTCTATCACTTCTTCTCTGTTTGTAAGTATTAAGTCCAGTATGGCTGTCCCTCTAGTTCCCTCCTCTACCTTTTGGACAACAAAGTTGTCAGCTAGGTTGGTCATGAACCTGTTTGATTTCTCACCTGGTGCAGAATTAGTTTTCCAATTGATATCAGGATAATTGAAGTCCCACATTACTATTGTAGTGTATTTCCTACATATATTTGTTAGTTGGTTAGCAAAAAGGACATCTATTTTTTCTGCTTGATTGGGTGACCTATGGCAAAATCATTCTTTTTTTTCTTTTATATTGATCCACCTCATCCCAGAGCAATGATAATGCAAAAGCTTCACTTCCACCCCATTCCAGAGCAAACCCCATTCTCTCACTAACCTGCTTTCCAGCTCTATTCTCCTGCATGCAGGGCAGCAAAAGAAGACAATGTGACTACCAGTTTAAAAAATGTTCAGTAAGATCTTCCCAACTTCAGTTTTGCTCTGGATGGAGGTGGAAGTGAGGCTGTGGGGTGGGGTAGAAGTTAGGATATCGCATTATGATTGCTCATAATAAGTAAGAACCAGTAAAAGAGGATGGAAAAATCCCTACCTGTAGATCAGCATTTTTAGTCTTGGCAATTTAAGATTGGAGAACTTCATGCTGCCTTGAAAATTCTGGGAATTGAAATCCATGCACCTTAAAATTGCCAAAGTTGAGAAACATGGGTCTACACTAGAGCTTAGGATTTTCCACTCCTGTTTTATGTATTGTGGTTTCCTTAACAAATAGTGATTAAAGCTATAAGAACCATTACTGGACTTTTTGTGAGAAACAAATTAAAATTTAATGAAGGCTTTGATGATTAGACAAATGTTAATCTTAGAGTAAGAGTTTGATATATATATTACTTATATCTGTACCAAAGAAACTTGGAAGTCATTCTTTTTTGGTTTTCCTTCTTTTCCTCTTTCTTTCTTACACTTTCACTCTTTTTCTTTCCTGAGCCTTTTTTTTTTCAAATCTGGTTTTTATTTGTGTATCCCTTAGCTTTGTATATATATATATATATTGATGTATGAAGGATCAAATGCTCAGCCATTATAATTCTACATTCCTTATTTACAGAAATCATACCAAAATTTAGAATGAAATCCACTGGGAGCCATCTCCTATGAGGCTGGGTCCGAGTCCCTCTAATCAAAAAGTATAGATAGAAGATAACTGTCAGGATTCCGGCAGTTAACTCCAATTAAATCCTGAGCCTCGAGCCACACTCCCAAAACTAAAGAGGATTTATTTGAAGGTAACATTCTACATCCAGCACTAACCTGGGCGTAGCCAACTCTGAGATATGTAATTCACTGTCACCCTTGATCCTGCTTCCCCCCCCCTCCGCCACCCCTCTGGGTGTATCATCCAACGAAACACGTCCATAGCCCAGAGTCATCAATCATGCTCTTCAATTAGATTTTTTCATGGCAGAAGCTTCAGCCATCTAATCAGTCTCTGAAGAAAATATGAATGGAATGTACTTTCGATTTCACACTGTTGCCTGCTCTTTGAAACTGTCTCCCTTCTTTCTGTTGTCAACTATAAAACGTGTATACAAAATGTTTTATGAGTTGACAATAATATTTGTAGCTCAGGGTTGAACTGTGGGGTCCTTGGGCTCTCTGAGCTTGATTAGTTTTTTTAAAGGTGTTTCATTACCAAACTAGGTAACATCATCAGTACTAGAAGGGAGTGGAGTTTGCTCTTATTTTCATATTGTCAGCCTCCAACAATCCTTCTGCTTGTCTTTCTGGCTGCCATAGAAATGGGGGGAGGGAAGAATAATTGGGCTTTGTGGGGGGAAGGGTGCTGGAGGTTTAAGTTGTAAAATGTAAAAATTGGGATGTTTTCTTGACTATGCTTACTTACTTACTGCGCAGATGTAGCCTCTTATCTGTCTAGGTCAAGGTCAACCATCTTGACATACCAGATGTCTGAAACAACACCTGAAGATGCCCCACATGACAGTATACACATCTCAGATTGGATGGCCAGTTTGAACTATTGGGGGTGGGGACATGGGATAACTTTCTATAGGTGATTTTCGCACCTATTGCCTCAGATCTCGTATTCTTCTGATGCTTCCACTTCAATTTTCAGTAAAAGTCCTTTTCTCTAAAACAATGGAGTCTAAGGTTTTCCTTCTTGAATTTGGAATGGAGCTTCACCTGACATTATACGAGATCTCTGTTTTTACTAGCCCACCCAGAGATCTATTCTTTTATCTTCCGAGGGGGTCTGAAAAAATGTCTAACGCATCCAGTGACCAAGAAGATCTGGGGGCTGCTGGAACTACAACCTCGCAGCTTCTCGACACTCAAGAGGAGGCCAAGCTGCTGGTGGGGCTGCAGATCGAAGAGAAACCAGTGGTCTAACCCAAATGGTCTTTGGGAGTCAGATGGAAATTGCCAGAAGAAACCCCTCCTGGGGTGACGACTGCCAGACAGTGCCAGGGAGAAACTGTGTGGCAGGAGGAAAATAGAAAAGACCTTCTGCTGACCCAAGCTTTCCATCTGTTTAGTGAGGCCACAGAGGGGTGAAAACCTGGAGAAAGGTATGAATTGCTGACCCGTGAAGAGCCTGGGGGGAGGAGAGGAGGGAGGCAGAAGTAATTGCATTCCCGGCAATTCCCTTAGTTCAGCCCAGGCCAGCTCAAGTGGCTGCTGTCACCCAAGCTCCCCCTGGGGGGGTGGGAGCAGCACCATGGAGGCACCAAATTCCAAAAGTTCCTCCACTGGAAGTAAAATATGGAGGAGATCCCAAGGAGTTAGGATTCTTCCGAGCCCATATGGAGGAATATGGTGAGGATTTTGCCTCAGAGGCAGCTAAAGTGAGATGTATCACCAGAGTGTTAGAGGGGACCACAGCAAAGTGGATGGTCACCCTACATAATGATAATGCCCCTCGATTGATGAACTTTGATCTGTTTATGGAAGCCTTGCGCACCCGATTTGAAGATCCTCTTGCTGAACGCCAGGATAGGATTAGGATGAAAACCATAAATCAGGGGCGAAGATCTGTGGCTGAATACCTCCAGGAATTTAGAGAGCTGGTGTGCCATATCTGAGGGTGGTCTCAAGAAGCTCTGACAGAGGCTTTCAAGGATGGGTTGAATGAAGATGTTTATCAAAGCTGTACCTCCAGAAGAGATCCTAGAGACCTGAAACTCTGGTACGTGTTGGTGTGGATGTGGAGATCGATCTGACCAGAAAAAGAGGCAGGGGTGGTCCCAACTGGAGAAAGCCCTCTCCCCCGAGAGGCTCCTAAAGCTCAAAAGGAGGGGGTTGGCTGTGAAACCCAAAACCACAGCATGCTTCCAATGTGAAAGGGAAGGTCACCAGGCTGCAGATTGCCATACTAAGCTGGACCCAAAAGGGGTGCCCAGTTGACTGTTGGAATGGTCCATGGAGTGACAGGCGGCTTTTGAGAAGCTAAAATGACTCTTTGCAGCTGAACCAGTGCTAAAGCATCCAGAGATGGATTCCCTTTTTGTGACCCAGGCCGATGCAAGTGACATGGCGGTGGGAGCGGTGCTACTTCAATCAAATGAGAGTGGAACTTTACAACCCTGTGTTTACACCTCTCAAAACTAACTGAGACTGAAAGAAAATGGGCTATTTGGGGAAAAGAAGTGTTTGCTGTCTGATGGGCATTATTAACTTGGAGGCATTTTCTCGAAGGGGCAAAACACCCCTTTGAGGTATGGACAGATCATAAAAACCTAGAGGCCCTAGAAACTCCTCAAAAATTGTCTCCTAAGCAAATTCGTTGGGCGCAATACTTTAAGCAGTTTAATTTTTCATTGAAGTACCTCCCAGGGGAAAAGAATTTTATGGCGGATGCTTTATCTAGGTTGCCCCAATATAACAGTGTCCACCCAGAAACGATCCATCCTATTGTTCCTACAAGGCAACTGGCTGCCCCAATGGTCACCAGAGCCCAGGGAAAAGAGGATGTTAATCTGTCAAATGATATAACTGTGCAGTTAAAAGAAGCTTTAAAATTGGATGATTGGTTCTTAAACCACTCAAATGACTGTACCGTTTGAGATGGTTTAGCATGGGTAGGGACCAAATTATATGTCCCAGCTAGCCTAAGAGGGCCCATCTTAAAGCAAGCCCACGATTCGAAAGTTGCTGGACATTTTGGCTTTGTGAAAACCTTACATTTGGTCAAATGGCAATTTTGGTGGCCATCTTTGAAAAAAGACACAGAAGCTTATGTAGCTAGTTGTCCTGTTTGTGCTTTAAAGAGTTTCAGACATGCTATATTTGCACTCCTACATGTTCCTGTAGCTGTGTGTAAGTGTGTGCACACTTTTATTCTTACATGATTTAAGGAGACACACACAATTTAAACATCCATATTTAACATTCTTGTCTAACAGTTGTACGAAAGAAATTTATTAGAAATAATAGGTGATCAGATTAGACAGAATTTCTCCTTCATTACCAAATACTTTGAAGGTCTCTCTTGTGATAATTTTATCCCTAAAGCAATTTTACATCTAAAGAAACCCTACTGATCAAATGAAAGATACATGTTTTTATACAAGAAATGAAAAGGCTAATGATCAAAACCAAGTCATTTCCATTAGGAAACAAGGCCTTAGAAAAAAATGGAAAATGAATCGAAGTTAAACATATCATGAAAACTTGTTGTGTGATTTTGCCCAATTTCTTCAAAAACATTTAACAGAAAGCATATTAAAATTATATATTACCATCAAAGACTGCTGATATATACCAGTAGGAACAAGTTTTATAAAACATTGATTATATTATCATACTATTAAATAAAATTGAAATAGATTAGGTTTCTCCACAGCAGGTTGGACTGGGAGCAATTAGAGGAGCCACAAGAATGTGTGTGTGCGTGTGTGTGTAATGTATATAGCATATGTATATGTCTGTTATGTGTATGGGTAGATATATACTTTCTTTGAAATCAGGCAACAGAATTTCATTTTTAATGTGGGCCAGGATGCTCAAGTAAAAATTGATAATAAAGATTATCTCATCTTATACCTTATCTTATTGTCTTATATCATCTTAAGAATCTCTGAGAAGTAGAAAAGCTAATACGAAAAATATTGCTATAATAGCTGCATATCAAATATAAGTCTCATGGATTGGGAGAATAGTAGTTCAGTGATAATTAGATTCTTTATACTGACTTCATTACTTTATAACTAACTCAACCAACATAATTCTTCTTCCTCCTATTTTCCCCATAACAGCATCCTTTGAGGTGGGTTGTTTTATGTTTCATATTTAAATCAAAACTAAATTAAATTTTACTAATTAGCATGTATTATTTCTTTATAATTTCTTTATAATCATGGCCAACAAAAAGCATTTTGCATTCAGTTGACTTTGTTAGTAAGGGGCGTGTATAAGTGCACCATCGTGCCTACCGTCCCTGTCCTATTGTCCCCATTCATTCATATCTATTTCCTGTATTCATACTCATGTTTATTCTAATACCTATTATCTTGTAAGCAATTGACAAATCAAATAAATAAATAAATAAATAATATTAGTTTATTTCTGATTGAAAATCATTCTAAATTAAATTTGATTTAAAAATACTTTTAATGAGGAAGTTCCAAAATTGTATACACCACATTCCCACAAATTCATTTTAATATATTCATTTTGAAAAGGGCTTATACATTTTTATGATTTATATTTAATGTTGAACAAATGATAACATTCCCAACGTTCATATTTTCTCATCTTTGAAGTTATATATATTTTTGAGTATTAATTTTTTAAAAAGATAATTTGTCATAAATGCCCTCTGAGCAGTTTCCATGACACCCTATATAAATATAATTCTGAGTTCAGTTCCAAGCCAATTATTAACCTGAACATATTTTTTTCATTCTTTGAAAAATCTACTGTATCTTTAATCAAAATTGGCCGCAATTAAGGGAGTTAACCTATTTTTAAATCATTAAGTGGTCAGATTTGGCTTTGAGAAGTTTATTGATCTATGAATCCAACTGAATTACATGAGTCTTTTATTCTGTGTCAGATTAACTGAGTAACATGCATAATCTTCAAGTTATGGTATAATTAACCTCCAAGCATCAATTAGCTAAACATATTTAATCAATTCCATAATCTCTGAATATTTTTGGTCTTCTCTCCAAATGTTCATTAAGAATTCATTAGTTTAGTTTAGTTTACTTTATTGTCATTGCACCTCATACAATGAAATTAAATGCCATCTTCAGTGTATATCTATAAAAATAAAACATAACACACATCCTTCACATTCTATACAATTGAATTGAAAACCCGATATTGCATTAATATTGCACGATCCAGTAGAATTAAATATAGTTTCTACTCTGTGAGTTATTACCCTGCTCTTTTTCAGCCTATTTGTTCTTGTTTTTATTATCCTGTACTGATAATAGTTCAAAAAAAGGGTTCCCAGGATGAGATGGATCTTTGAGAATGTTTTGAATTCTCTTAAGGCAGCGGGAGTTATAAAGCTCTTCCAAAGAGGGGAGAGGGCAACCAATTGATCCTCTGGACAATGACATTAACCCTTTGGAGTGCTTTCCTATCTGCCCCTGGGCAATTGGCAAACCATACAGAGGTGCAGTAAGTTAAAATGCTCTCTGTGGTGCAGCAGTAGAAGGTTACCAGCAGTTTTCCATTCAGTTGTTGTTTCCTGAGAAGCCTTGGGTAGTATAATCTCTGCTGGGCCCTTTTGACCTTGAATGGCTGGGTGGACTGGACATTAACATTTGAACCACTATAAGTCCATGAGTTTGCCATAAGCTAAATAAATAAATGTTCATAAGCAGAATTCCCTTGACAATAGTACTGAGGGAAGAGAAGGGGTGGGAAGGGAGAGGAGAGAGGAAGAAGAGGAAGGGAGAGGAGGGGAAATGAAATGAAAGAAGGAACGGAAAGAAGGAAAGGAAAAGGATATTGACTTTGTTGTTGGAATTGAGTAGAACTGAGGAACACCAATAAAGCTGCAGATACTCTGAGAAGGGATTGCGCACAGAGAAACAATCCCTTCACACACTCTCCTTGGCCACCTTACTTTT